GGAATTTTGTTATCTTGAGCTGAGCTGGCTATGTATTGATTTTGATTTTTTGGGGAAAAGGTTTTCTCGAGCTATGTTAGCAGATAGGGTTGCAGGTTTCGTACGTTTGTGTTTAGGGCGGCGCTGGTAAGTAGGTGAAGATCATGATGCCGCCACGTGGGATCGACGGTGAAAAAGCCGACCGCCGGCGCTATTTTGGGTCCTCATTTGTTTTATTTATTTGAGAATTAGGGCAGCTTACGAGCCGACTCGAATCGAGTCGACCCTAGGCCTTATCGAGTCCACGCTCAGTTTTGTATACCTATTCGAGCTCAACTAGCTTGTATTGCTCGAGATCGGCTCGGATGTGCGTGACTCGGGTTTGGCTTGAAAGTTTAATTAAAAAAGTATTTTTAATGAGAAGTGTTTATGTGTTTCCACGCATAATCGAGCTGCCGTCAAGTGTTCGACCGTACAAAATGCAGGTTCGATTTTCGAGTTTGGAATGCTCGAGCACGAGCTAAGTGTTGACTCGAACGCTCGTGAGGTGGAGTCGACGCTCGTGAGATGTTCGAACTCGTTTGCAATCATAATTGAGAAGTGTTGATTTAGTAAAATATATATATATATAATATCTGATGGATTACAACATATTTTTTTTCATTACTTAACTGAAAAGGAATTAGTTATTTTCATTCTCATCATTACTTAACTGAAAAGGAATTAGTTATTTTCATTCTCCTCTAAAGATGAAGTAACTTTTTTACACTGTCAAATAATTAATTTTTTCACTCTACAAAGTGTCAAACTAATTATGTGATAAACTACCCGACTGATTGGTAAGAAAAAATGTGTATTTAATATTAGCTTATTTTTATATGCCTAATTTTATCATACTTATATATTTTTTACGTTTTTATTTATTAAATGAAATTAAGTGCTATAATATATTTATTTTTTATTTTTAAGATATTAGAGTATTTTCATTGACGACGTGACACTGAATGAGAATTGAGTAGGCGAGTAAGGAGCTGGTATGAGCTGCCCCATCCCAGCCCATTACCATCGTACTTTATAGGCCCAATGAAATTTAATGTTCCAAATCAAAGACCCATAAATTGGCTGCTCAAATAAACAGTGGATCAGCACATGACCTTTGGGGAAATAAGTACACTGCTATCCTTTATAAAAATTTGTTTATGTTATTCCTATGTTTAATTCTAAGTCAAAATTACTCCTTTTGTTTCAAATTTTAGCCATTTGTTGCCCTTTTTAACTTTATTTTTTTTGATCAGTTTTTTATATATTAAACACGTCTTTTCATGATAAGTTCTAACGATTGTTGAGAAAATCGTTCACAATTCATCTCTTCTTCAATTATCTTCTTTACTCTTTTAATTTTTTTTCTTCTTCTTCTTCTTCTTCATTCTTTTTTTTTTCATTCTATTTTGTTTTTTCATTGTTTTTAATCGTTTGTAATGGTTAGAACAAGGCCTTCAGATTTAAAGATCTCGGCGATGGATCACTGAGGCGGGCAGTGTTCGAGGCGACGGTAACCGCGGATCACTGGGGCTTGTGGCTTTTTTCGGGCTCAATAGGGGCGCGACGCCAGTTTATTTCAAAAAAATTGTGAAAAAGATAAGTCGATATGTTTTTTTTCGGGTTCACAAGGTTTTGAATTCTGATTTTGTTGACATGCCTTTTTATTTTCTACAATTATGAAAAAGATAAGTCGATATGTTCCAGATGGGTTGATGGGTTGATGGGTAAATGTGAATTATGAATTGGTGATACAAATCCGTTAATGTTAAATTTCAAGTTGCATTTTATTACAATGTTTGTTTCAATGTAAAATATTTTGATTCTGAATTGTTATGCAGTAAGAATTTATCAATATCTCAAATGGACTTTTCATTCTGAATTTATGTTGCTTAAAAGTTGTTTTCTTGTTGATTAAATGTTATTATGTTATTGCTTTGTTGTTACATGGAAGATTTTTTATTTCTTTGTTTTCATCTAATTTCTTGAATGCATATAATTTATATGTATGTATTCTATTATATAACTATTGTTGTTGTCAACTTAATTCTACATTTTTTTCTTGCTTTTATTTAATTTAATTGCTGCGTGTGTGTATATATATATATATATATAATTAATTGCTTTTAAGAAGAAGAAGAAAAATAGAAAGAGAGAGGAATAAAGCAGTTACAACATATAAGATTGTAATTAATTTTTTATATTATTAAATATGTTTGGATTGTATTGAAGTAATTTTGAAATTGTAGAGAGTATGTACTTTTATGTAATGTTTTTATAATAGATGGTAGTTATGTATTTTTCCCCGACCTTTGGGGTATCACGAGATGAGGCCCATTGTAGAAAGAATTTGAGGGGTAGCCATTTTATTATTTTTTTTTTTCTATCGTTAAGGGATAACCATTATTAATTAAGGAAAACGTTATTGTCCCGGAATAGGTGAGGGATTTTAGCCATGAATTATCTAAAATAAGTAACTCACGTATATATCTAAAGGCTAAAATATCTCGCGAACCATCCCGTGAAGGGATTGTAGCATTTTCCATTAATTTAATAGGTGGAGCATTTATTTTTTAAAAACAATTAAGACTTAATAATTATTAATATATACATATAAATATTTTAATGTATTTAAATATTAATATATACATATTAATATATTTTAATTATTAATATTTTTTTTCTTAATAGTACATTTTTAATATATTTTTATTATTCATATGTATAAATATATTTCTATATTTATACATTTTTTAATTAAATAAAAAATTTAAATCGCAAAAGCAAAATTGCGAAAAAATTATATATATTAACATATTCTAGTTATTTATTTGTTAAATTTATAGAAAATATTATATTGATATATATATGAAATTTTTTAATATATTTCTAATATTTATAAATTTTATAATTAAATAAAATAAAAGCAAAAAAATCAAAAAAATATATTAATATATTTTAATTATTTATTATTTAAATATATAGATAATATATATTAATATATATAAAATTTTTTAAATATATTTTTAATATATTTACATTTTTTAATTAAACAAAAAACCAAAAACGAAAAAATATTAACGCGAAAATATATATTAAAGTATTTTATTTATTTATTTTTTCAGTTTATAGAAAATATATATTAATATATGAATTTTTTTAAATATATTTATAATATTTAAAGTATATAATAATATTTAAAGTATATATATTAATATATATAATATATATTAATATTTATTTTAATTTTTTAGTAAATAAAAAAAAGCTGGCCGCCCGCAGGCCGCGGCGGTCGAAACGCGGCCTACGACCGTCTTCGTGGCAAAAAACGGGGCTGCCGCGCGAGACGCGGCCACGATCTGTGGCCTTCTGCGTGTAGACCGGCCGCGATCGCGGGCCGGTACCTTCCAAGCCGGCCGTCTAACAAAAATATAAAAAAACTTATTCA